TCTTTGTCTCCGGGGAGATTTTTCTTCAACGAGAGGAGACACCTTTAGCGCTGAAGTGAACCTTGAATTACATTTTTTTGAACCAGCAATATTCAAGGAGATATTTGTTCAACACACCCCCACAATAATGGTGACGAGACGTCAATCTGTTGGCTGTTGCCATAGAAACAGGACTGGGTATCTGTTACTCTGGGGCTTAGGCTTGTAACGTAGCTGCAGCTTAGCCCCTGTCCCAAAAGCTCAATTTAGCAAGCTAATCTTTAGAGTTGCTGCACCGTCATCTCGGAAATATGGATCGCATTTGTTGAAAAATGAGGCAGAGAATATGATACAAGCAAATCTGTTTGTACTGGAATTCTACCAATCTGATTGCCCCTTCAGTTTCTAATAATGCTGCCAGTACGTGGAACATATTGCTATCGTGAAGAAATAATCTCTTTGTTGTATTTTAGCTTTGCCGCAATGTTAAATTTTTAGATTGATGTTGTGTTTCAGCCAGTGTCTCCAGAGGGACTGAATGAGCTGGCAGCCAGTTTTTTTGTTCAGAGTTTCCTAATGTGCAATAACATTTTATGGCCCTCAATAATTCTCCTGATATTCATGCAATTATAACACTGCAAGAAGACATTGGTCTGATGTCCCTAATTGTCATAGTAGCTGCTGCTCCTCCTAAGTCAATAGCAGTAATATTAATGAGGGCCTTTGAAGCGTTCGTCTTAATTTTTAATAACACAGACACTGAGCAGTCGATCACTGACTCTGACTGAGTCAGTGGTGACAGAAAGTGAAGATTGTTATAGTTTTTCATATGTACCGGCTATGGTTTTAGCCTGTTAGCTGAGCTTTGTGAAGTTTTTTTCTTTTCTTCCAGAGCAGTACAAAGAATATGAAGTAAAACTCCTGTTTTAAATACTCAGGTACTCTAAACTAAAGCTGTCAAATGACTGAGAATTTGGATCTGATTAGTCACAGGTTAGCTGTGAGTGGATCAGGATTATTCTTAGTCATGATTTGAATTATTTGCAGTTAATTGTGAGTAATGAAGATGATCTAACATACCTCAATACGACATAAAAATGTTTTCTGTATATTTCTGTGTATTGGTCAAAATGTAGCTTCATCGGTCTGGTGGATTGAAGTCAGTGATGTGCATCTTGACTGCAGAATATTTGGACAGTTCCTTTTTAAACTTCTGTGAAGCTGTTGTCCTCAACATTATTAAAGGTTCAGATGGTATTTTAACCTCAGTTGCTTCTGTGAAACAAAAACATTTTTTTGGTTTTAACCTGATTAGTTTCACAAAGTATTTATTTTGAATAATCCCTTTAATTTTGACAGCCTACGTAAATCAATGGTCACATGCCCTAGTCTAAATAACCAGTTGTGTGTGTGTGTCTGTTTATTAGACGTGGGGTTCTCGATGGAGGCATTTCTTTTGGGGTATTTTTGCCCGTTCTCCTCCGGATTAGGACTTCTTCAGGCCAGTCAGAAATCTGGAGAATGAAACCAAAACCCAGACCTAACTTTGCCAAATTGTGAGAGATTTTCTACTTTCCAGTTGACAGCAAATGTTCCACTGTGGGAACAGTATTTATGTGACATGTCAAATAAATCCTTACAGACACAATTTATTTATATTTTTCCTGGCAAGTTTAAAAAGTTCTGTTAGGCAACTGGACATGAATTTTCTAAAAGAAGACGTTTCACCTCTCATCCAAGAGGCTTCTTCAGTTCAAACTGGTGGTGGGGAGTACAGCAGATATATACTCCTTGGGGTCAATTGTGAAAGTGTAAACAGTCATTAAGTGTCTGATGGGTCGTTGTGGTCCCCATCAGAATGGTTTAAGTCACCTGCCTCTTTGTTGTGTGAAACTGAGGAGAATCAGTTTTGGGTATTGTTCCTAAAAGTGATAGGTTGTGTCTGAGTCCATCTCCTCTGTTGAGTGATGGTTTTTACAGGTTGACAAAAATGGCTTCTTTTACCCCTCTCTCAAACCATCTGTCTTCTTGGCCAAAATGTGTACAATGTTGTCCTCAAAGGAATGTGTTTTGTCCTTGAGGTGTATGTGAACAGCTGAGTTCTGTCCTGAGGAGTTGGCCCTCCTGTGTTGGGCCATGTGCCTGTGTAG